GAGGTGTGGCTAAAGGCGCTTTGTCGTTGCAAGGGGAGGGATCACAAGCCCCTCCCCCCGAAGGAGGAGCCTGACTCTGCATAAAGGAGAGCTGCTGTGTGCCAACGAGCCAGTCATCGTTCGTCAGAGCTGCTGTCAAGAAAGGATCCAAACCAAGAATCAACCAAGGGAACATCATGTCATCCAACTCTACGACCAACTCCTCTTCTACCAATCCGACCTTTGAGCCAATTCAAGTGAGTACCCTTGAACAGGTCGGGTTCATCCTAGCCTGGGTGGTCTACTGCCACACCGGGTCTTGGACCACTGGGCAACCCTTAAGAGTGTTTGTCGCGCTCCAGGGGTATGCAAAGCTCCTTCTACGACCCCTTCTTCTGCGAAGATGGGACCATGCCCCCTCTCTTTTTGCCTGTTATCTGATGGGACGGACCCGCATCAACTGGCGCAGAGGAGCGGTTGCCTGTCTTTGGCTTACCATCGACACAACTGCCTTAATAATGGAGCTGGTCTGTGGAGGAACCCACGCCAACCGTGCTGCACCACTGAAAATACTCACCGCCATCGTTGAGGGTCTTCTGGCGACATCTATTCTCATCTACCTGGCTTACCAGGCTTTCTCCATCAGAGGTCAAGGCAAACGTCGCTGGCTCCGAAGATGGGCGATCTTAGCCCTCTGGGTAACAGGGTGGGGAGTTTTAGTGACCCTCTATTGGATGAAGAAGATGTCCACACTGCCCATCATAGTGTGGCTAATGACCCATGCGGCGATATTTCATGATTCATCTTATGTGCAGAATCGGGAATCGCAAGCATCCGACAATGTTCCCCCTGTGATAAATTCCCCATGGCTCGCAGCTCAAAGAGGCACACAAGTTTAAATCAGCTCCCTTTTTATGCTCTTGCTTTCGCTTTTCACCCCTTTTCCCCATTATTAGTAAAAAGAATCGATAACTACTAATCATGAAGTTACCTAGGTTGCTGTTTCTCTTCAGGCACCGATTTGCTGCGTGGGATGTGGAACGACCGCAGAATCCTCTGGGTTCATATGGGTTGCATCGTCTACCCGTTGGTGTCACGACTGCGTACACCTTGAAAATGTAACGGCAATCCTCTGCCTCCATGGACGTGAGGACCTGCCTTACATTGCG